ATATATATATATATATATATATATGTATAGATATACAGTCGTGTAGGAGATGCAGGGGGTGGTGGACCGTGCTAAAAGGGATGCTGGTGACAGCGTGAAAGTTCATAAGAAACTTCAAAGAGTGGTAAGCGTGAATATAGGAATGAAAAAGATGGACTCGCGCTAGATATCTAGATAACGGCAAGGACGAAGATAAAGATAAATATAGATTGCCGCGCTCGTATACATATGTGTAGATACGATTCCCGTGCGAGCTTTAATCTTCAACCAGCAGCCGTTTTCAAATCGATTCTCATCTCCTGGTTGCTATGCTATGCTATACTGGGATAGAACCGACTGACGTTAAAAGCTTACGAGGCGGAACTTTACCGGTTGGGCGAAAAAGCTACGCCATTTGTAATCCGAGAAATAAAGCTGCATTACGTAAAATGACTATCGATCATTCCGGTGACGCTTTAATTGTTGTTTCGAGCTTTTTAATTGTCTTCGATACCCCTCCACCCGTTATTTTTTCATTTCAAATATATTCAAATCTCCCGCCACTTCGTGACTCGCCCGAGACCACGTACTATTTCCCACGTATTAAAATATGCCTTTTCTCGTGTGTCGAGCCGTAAATTTGGAGCAGGCTATTTGAAGGCATTCCGCTCTTTATTCGAATTATACTTATTATTGAAGCTCGGAGAATCGATCCTGATGTCAGTGATCGAACCGTTCGACTGTTCAACCGGTCTGCAACGGCGGACGACATTTATGAGTAATTGACCTATAGCCACTTTTTAATTGCTCGAATCTCGTATCTGAAGGAGGGGCTGGGGGATAGAAATTATTTGTTTGTTACACTTCAATGATTGCTCAGTGCGATGATGCGATTAAATTCAATCAGATCGATCGCAACGGGCTCATCTAACGTGATTGATACGGATATTAATACCGATTGATACCGGTTGGTATTCTTCCACGTGGTTAGGCGTATGCTTACATGTCTACGTATAGATATATACTATATATTTTAAGAAGGGTAGTTTTCGGGACTTTTTGTTTTGAGTATTGGCAGTTTTGAGGACACTTGGTGTTTGTCAGGACAGGCCTGATAGCATTTAGATACGTAAGGTATACTGTCAGGACCATAAAGTGGCACTCACACCGAATTTTCCGAAAAAATTTTCATGCTACACACTCGCAGTTGTGATCGGTTAAGAAATGATTTCGTTAAGCTAGGTTAGGTTAGAATTTTAATACGACATGTCTCAAGGTTTAGTTTTTAAGAAGAAAAACGCATGGGCTTCCGATTGTGAGTGGCATGCGTCCTCATAACTACCCTTTGACAAGTTTACATATATATACGGGTTACGCGATAACTGATGAATTCATGGAGAAAAAATAAGGGAGCAATGTCTATAGTGTTTTGTCGGGCAGAAATAGAAATCCATTAATTTCTGACAGTGTGCGAGGGGCAGTAGGGGCGGCGGCGGAGGTGGGCGGGGAGGATAAGGGTGGATTTCTCGGTGTCCCTGACACTTTTTATTGTGTTCGGAATAAAGTGCGGTTTAAATGAAAAATTTTGATATCGAACATCGCAATTACTTTTTTTTTTTATCTGCTACCTTGATCTTACGATGGATCTTCGTGGAAATAATTTTTTTAGCGATTACGCAATTCGCCAAAAATTCACTCGCTTCGTTCTGGCCAATTGTTAGGCGCATGACAATTGATAACAATTGCCTTTTGACAGCTGCTAAATTCGGTTGTTACCACTGGCATTAGAAACGATGATGACTTACGTTACGTAAGCGCGATTCTCGTTTGACCAAGTGGCGCCATGTTGTTTTTTTATTCAACTTTAACGCTAATACTTGAAAATGGAAACTTCCGTTCGACGTTCTGTCGGCGACTTTAAATAGTTTTTCCAAAGGCTTCCATGACCTGTGCTTTGGTTTTTGTGTAATTCTGTGATTTTACTCAATTTCTTCGTCTATCTTGATTTTTCTGCTTTTTTTTTAGTCAAGTCACCAAATGAATTTCGCTTATTATATTTTATCGACCGTCTCGCCTGTTAAGAAAAATTCATTTGAACGTCATCATCGAATTCTTGGATTTCCTATAAGATTTCTAGTTAACGTTACGTCAACTGTATATTCGATAACTTTATAATATGCGTGCTAGAAACATGTTCAGTAATTCGTGAAAAAAAATATTTTTCTTCAAAATCAAATCTGCGTTCCGTTAAATATAAAATTTGTGTGTAATTATATTGTCAAGTGAATCTAATGATATTTTAGGAGTGCAGGTACAGTATAGGGAAATTGTATAGTTTTATTAATTTCCTGTACCTATATGGTAGCACGTTGATTTTCCGAAGAATGCTCAGATGCTCGTATATCAAAGTACCCGTCTCTCACGCCTATGTCACCTGATAAATTTTCTTATCAGTCAATCGACTATTTTTGTCGAAATATTTTTTTTTATCACAATGACAAACGTATTTCATATCATTGTTTACAGTCATATAATTTTATGGTGTTTGTAACCGGATCAAAATCCCTGATGCTTGATCCCTCGTATAACGCGTAATCGATTGTTTGTTAAGAGAAAATAAATATCAGGACGCATATTTTTGTTGGTTTGTTTGAACATAATCCAATTTCGTGCAATTTGTTCCTCCCAGCGACGAGATGACTACGCAATTTAAGTATACTATTACAATCGAGAATTAAGCGCGAGTCAATTATTCTAGATGAGAACAAAAGGACATTAAAATTCGTAACTGGTCCACGAACAAGAGACGTGAACTTGTACAGAGACGAGAACTTGCATAGGCCTGAAAGTACACGAAACAATAATTTGAACAATAATTATACGTCATAGCTTCAGGAGCATTGTTCGAACATTCGTCAAAGGGAAATTCCAGAAAACCCTTTGTCACATGTATGACAAAGGTAGGGCGGATACTTTTTTCTTTTTTTTCACACAAATACAAAAATCGATCTTTTTGCTTTTCGAAAAATTCACTATTGTCTATGTTATCGGTATCACGATTTTTTATTTTTTTTTTTGAAAATACCTATCCACCCTCTTTTTTTCATCTTCCATCACTTTTTTTTACTCACCTTAATTCACGTTGGAAATTTGATCTCGCTGCTACCGACGAAAAATTTCCACAATGTCGATCTCCGCTTCACTCATCGCCGACTAACCTTGCACTAAACTGCATCATCTCGTCCGCCCGCGATAACAAAAGTTGCGAACGTTATAGTTCACTTTAGAGAGGCCCTGCATTTAGACGGGGATCGATGGGGTTGCTCAGTCACGGAATCGTTTGAGATTTTGAAAATTCATTATCACATCGAACGACTAGGATCGATAAATCGATTCATTGAAAATCGATCCGACGAATAATTAAATGTGACAAATGAAAATTTCAAGTATACGAGAATTTGGAAAAAATTTACAAAGTTAACATGCAGATGCAATTTCAAAAATTCGATAATAAATTCGGGGGGGGGGGGGGTTTTTGTCCAAAAA